AAAAAAAAATCCCAGGACTTGAATATATACCATAAAGAGATTCAGGCACTGGACTGTGACTAACTTCCCCAGGTAACTAATTTTGAACTATTAGGGCAAATCCACGCTCATTTTACTTCTCAGGCATCAGACCCCTTAACAGCATCGATTAACAGAAACGTGCTGGGTTTGCAACGTTCTCTAACACCTGTGGACAGCACGCCCTTTCTACACAGTGCTTTCCTCCCAAACCACGACCACGCTAGCGCTGGGCTCTGGAGAGCACTTGCTCTTCCTGGACACCAGGAGGACAGAGGCACTAGGAAGAAAGCTCTCCAGGTAGATGTGTGCACACGTTGTCGGAGAAAGAAACTTACTTTCCGACTAGCCTCTTCTCTGGCTGAAATCTGTCTCTCCTGCTCAGGCATCACCCCCGCAGACACCAATTTCTTCTCAGATCCCGCCCGGAGCCCAAAGGTCACCTGGTTAGGGAAGGGCGAGAAGAGCCTGTTAAAATCCAGGAGGAAGAGGAGTGGATGTGAGGGCTTCAGTCCGGCTGGACTCTAAGGAAACCGTTTCTTCCCTTTGAATCAGGGGATCCGCAGCACCAAAACTGTAGGTTAAAATTGAGCGCCGCCGTGTCCCTAACTTGGGAGCGCAGGGATAAGAGCGCGTGGGGAGCGTGGGCCTCCGACCTTCACTCACACCCAAGCCCGCACCGCAGGGCGAAGACCTGTCCTGACTCCCTCCTAAACTACCTCGGACCGATGCACTCAGCACTAGGTCCTCAGATCTGCGCCTGTGCTGGAGATGAGGGGCTGGTGAGTGGTGCAGTCCCGGGCCGGAGACGCAGATGTCCCGGGTTCGCCCAAGGCCTGGGGGACGGTTCGTCCTGGCGGGGTGTCGGATCAGCTCCGCTCAGCCCCCTCTCCAACTCCGCGCCTGGCTCCTGGGCTCCGCGGATCTCAAATGCAGCAATCGCTACGAGAATGGACTCTGCACTCGGAAGATTGATCCGTGAGCTGCAAGGGCCTCCCATTTGGTCGCCAACCGGCCGCGGGTTTGGGACTGAGGGCAGGGGCGCCCGGGCTGGGGCTTCCAGTGGGGGAGGGGCCGAGGACCTGAGCGCCGGCTGTCCGTCAAAGGCCACGCCCCACAGCCCACCTCCCACTACGGTGCCGCCCATGGGGGCCGGACCCGTTTGCGCCACGCCAAAACTCTCGTTTACTCCTCGGCCATTCTATTGGCTAAAAGGCCGTGGGAAGCTGCTACCGGTAGCCAATTGTAATGCAGAATTGGCCCGCGAGGGCCAGAGGAGCGCCTCAAGCTTCCTCAGTAGCCAATAGGGAAGAGGAACGGCCAAGCGCTTCCTGAGTTCGGGGGTCGGCCGAAGATGGCGGCCTCCAAAGGGGGTTGGTGCTTGTGCGAATTGTTGAGGTGAGGAGCGGGTGCTGTGGGCTCCAAGGGCTACTTGTCGGGTGGTGACACTTGGCTATCCAGTGCAGCTAACGTTTGCGGGAGAAGGGCTACCCTTGTCATGGATGTAGGCTAATTTCCTAGGATTTAGGGTATTTTCTCAGGCCAGTGAGCGGTTTTCCCCTCCCTGCGGGTCTCTCAGGGTGGAGCAGACTGAGTCTAAAGACTCAGTTTACCGCAGTTTTTTCGCCTGTGTCCTTGTGGCTGAGGGGCGTTCCTTCCCTGTTTCAACTTTTTCTTTCTTTTCGCAATCCAATAACTCTGTCATGGTACTTATATGTGCATTACTAATTTTCCCTTAGGATTGAGCTGAGAGTGATTTTCCAATCTATCATGTTTCTCTCTTAGTTAAAGAAATCAATTTCCCTCCACTCCTTTTCTCTCTCTCTCTCTCTCTCTATCTCCCCCCAACTTTGGTACTGAGAATTGAACCCAGGGACGCTTTGCCATCCATTGATTTGGTGTCTCTGTTGTAAAAATACTTATATGAAAATATTACCCTTATTGTAATACACATTATCGTTTCTTCCAAAGAAAAGTTAGGAAATAGAAAAGTAAAGGAATGCTACCATCTGGTGATAAACACTCTTAATACTTTGGTGAGAAAACACTTTTCTCCACCTTTGTTATAATATTGTGATATATTAAATGCCTTACTCTGCACTGATTAAACTGAAGACCTACTGTACGCTACTACCTAGTCAGGTTGAAAATTTATGATTAACACAATATATACCTGAATAGCAGTATGTGCGTATTCTCAACAAAACTCTGGTATTTCTTCTTCATTTTTGTCCTACTTCAAGTTCTATAATTATTTAAAACATTCTGAATGGGAAAGTATATTCTCAGAATTTTCATGTTACCTACCTGCCTTATAAATGTCTGCTAAATAAGTGATTCACTATTGATTACAGCCACCTTTTTTTAAGCCTTTTGTCTAAATATGGGCAAACATTATTTAGTACTACATATTTTAATTATATGTAAATCCTAAAATGAATAATTCTAATGTGCAAGTACTGTATGGTGCTTAATAAATTTATTTATAGAAACTGTAAGTGTATCTTTGAAACTAACATACTCAAAGGACTGGCTTAATTTTAATTATTAGTATGATTCTGAATCTGATTTAAGTTAAATGGTTCAATTTGAAAGGCCTATATGTAAAACTGAACCATTTGAAGGAATTGTCATTAAAAAAAAAAAAATCTTTACATTTTCTGAGTCGTTTACATTATAAGTAAAACAGGCTTTTGAAAGCTCTTCTTAGGGAAGCAGACTGTCCTATATAGAGTTGCTTTTGTGAACTCATACATTCCAACTCATATATTCTTAAAGTGGTAAGTAAGATTTGTCATTATTTAACATTTAATCATTTAAGGTTGTAGTTCAAAGTGTGGTTCATAGATCCATACAGATTCAAGATTCTTTCAGTAAGTCTTCAAGGTCAAAATTGTTTTTGTAATAATGTTAAAATAGCAATTGCTTTTTTCAGTATGTTGACATATATTCTGATGATACAAAAGTAACGGTGAGTAAAACTGCCCTAGTACAAATCAAGGCAGTGAATGCCAAACTGTAGTAGTTAGTCCTTGTGTTTTTTAGCACTTGCAAAACCCACTTTTAATTAGGAATATCAGTGATGAACTGAGAGCCATGGCACATGCCTATAATCCCAGGAAACTCAAGAGGCTGAAGCAGGAGGATTACAGGTTTGAGGGCAGCAATTTGGTAAGGCCTTAAGCAATTTAGCAAGACCCTGTCTCAAAATAAAAAGTTAGAAAAAAGTCTGGGATCCAACTCTGTGGAAAAGTGCCCCTGGGTTAAATACTAGTACCAAAGAAAAAGAAAAAAAATATCTTTGATTAAATAGTAAAAGTTATGAATTTTGTTAAATCATAACCCTTGAATTACATATATCTTTAATATTGTATATAACAAAATGGGGGGTGGGGGGACACATAAAGCACTTCTGTACTGCTATATGGTGGCTGTCTCAAGGAAAATCAGTTTGTTACCTAATCATCTAAGCTGCATGCTGAATTAGACACTTTATGGAAGACCATTTTTACTTGAAAGACGGACAGATAAACTACCAAGTCACAATGCTACAAAATGGAGAAGTAAAAGATCCACTGAATCCTGGGTTCAAATAATCCTCCTATCTCAGCCTCTTGAGTAAAGTGGGACCCCAGATGCAGGCCTCTTTGCCTGCCTAGAATTTTCAAAAAACAAAAAAGTAGGAGGGGTGGGTCTTGGGTAGAATGTCTGAGATCCTAGGTTGAATCTCCAGCACCATGAAAGTATTTTAAGTATTTTGTTAGCAGGCTTGCAAACTACAAAAATTTTCTTTGCTACCAATACATAAAGTAAATATGTAAAAAATTTTTTTTAAATATGGGCATCAGATGAATTTTCACCTTTTCCTTCTTATTTCAGATTGTTTTATTCATTATTCTTCCCTGGGCTAATTGTATGTGGAGCTTTATGTATATGTTTGGTAATTGTCCTTTGGGGACTCAGATTACTGCTACAGAGAAAGAAAAAGTCAGTGTCAGCCAGCAAAAATGGGAAAAATCCAACAGTGATTGCATTTTTTCATCCATACTGCAATGCTGGTGGAGGAGGGGAAAGAGTTCTATGGTGTGCCTTGAGAACCCTGCAGAAAAAGTAAGTATTCATCATGTTTAGCAAATTTTCTATATTGTTGCCATTTCTAGAAAAAATATTACTCAGAAATTCCTTTCTCCTGTACCTTATTCACAGCCAGGAATTTCTTTTTTAAACTGTTCTTTAATAAGAGAATTTTTCTCTCATTTGCTCACTTGCTTCATATAGTCCTGTTGAATTTTAAACCAGTGCTCCCAACGTGCCTATGGTAGAGGCTGAAGTGGGAAGATTGCTTGAGCCCAGAAGTTGGAGGCTGGCCTGGACAATGTAGACCTTGTCTCAAAAAAAACCTAAGCCAGGAACAATGGCATATGCCTGTAATCCCAGCAATTTGGGAGACTGAGGCAAAAGGATCACAAGTTTGAGACCCTAAGCAGTCTAGTGAGACCCTGTCTCAAAATAAAAAATAAAAAGGGCAGGAATGTAGCTCAGTGGTAAGGCACCCCTGAGTTCAATCCTTAGTACCCAAAAATGTACCTAGCTTTAAAAACATGTTTGCAGTTCCCAGAAACAATTTGATGAGGACATGGGTTTATTAAATTTTAATTTATTTTTATGAGTATTTTATTAATATTTCACTACTATTTTTATATTGAGAATGTTGTCAAAATGAGTTGTTGTATTTTATTTGCACTGTCGGGGATTGAACTCAGGGCATCACACATAATAGACAAGTACTCTACCTCTGAGCTATACCCTTACTCTGTTAAAATAAAATATTTTAATATTTCCTTAAAAAATAGAAATTTCTCATTAAACCCTTAATAGAAGAAATAGCAAAGAACTAGAAGACAGAGTGTCTTAGTCTAATTGGGCAGCTGCATGAAAATATTTTAGACTGAGTAATTTATAAAGAACAGAAATATATTGCTCACAGTTCTGGGAGCTGGGAAGTCCAGGATCAAAGCACCAATAGCTCTATAGTGTCTATGGAGAGCTCACTCTGCCTCATAGATGGCTGCTTCTTGCTGCATCCTCATGTGAAAAAATGGAAAATGGGCCTTCTTTAAAAAGGCCCTTGGGGGGCTGGAGTTGTGACTCAGGTGTAGAGTACTTACCTAGCATGTGTGAGGGCCTGGGTTCAATTCTCAGCACTATATATACATAAATAAAATAAAGATCCATTTACAACTAAAAATTATTTAACAACAACAAAAAAAAGGCACTTGAGGGTGGAGGTAAAGTGTGTGCTTAGCATGCACAAGACTCTGGGTTTAATACCCAGCACCAATAAATGGAGAAATAAAGGCATTAATCTCATTATGAGGCCCCCTCCTTTTTGGGGACGTAGCAGTACTGGGTATCAAACCCTGAACCTTGTACATGCCAGTACCAGAGAGAGAGAGAGAGAGAGAGAGA